GAAGGCAAGAAGGACATATAAGAGACAGGATAAGAAAGGCAATGGGAGTTGCGAGGCAGGTATGGGGGATAGGGAAGAGGAAATTTGAAAAGAATATCGAAAGGAGAATATGGCTGTTCGACACTCTGGTGTGGACAGTTTTAGGATACGGGGCAGAAATATGGGAATGAAAAGAAAGAGAGAGGGTAGAGAGGGCGGAGGAAAGATTTCTAAGGTGGATCTTGGGAGTAGACTGGAGGACGCCGGGATATTTGATAAGAGAAGAATTACAAAGGAACAAGTTAAGAGGTAGAGCAGCAAGAAGGGCGTGGAATTTTGAAAAAAGACTAGAGGAAGGAAAAGGGGGAAGGTTGGCAAGGTAATGTTTGGAGGAAATTAAGAAAAGGTTAGGAAAGGAGAAAGGGAATTCAGAATGGGAGATGGAAAGAGAGGAATTTTTTAAGACAAGAATTTTTTAAAACAGAAAGGGGAGAAATGGAAGAGATAGCATGGAAAAAAGAGAAGGAGATGCCGGAATATGAGGTAGTAGAGGGAAAGGAAATAATGATGCAGAGGGAAGAGAGACGGGAGAGGATTGAGAATTCGAATTATAATAAATGGTACAAAAGGATAAAAGGAGAAGGGATACCGAAATACCACAAAAAAGGGTAGGCAGAAACAAGATGGAGAAAAATTGCAAGATTTAGGCTAGGAAATGAAGTAAGGGAAAGTAGGTACTGGGAAGAGGAGGGGAAAAAGAGCTGTAGGATTTGTGGAGGAGAGAGAGAAACATGGGAGCATATATGGGACAGATGTGGGCGGAGAGGGGGAAGGGAGGCGGAAAGTTGGCAGGAGGTGGTGGACGTAATGCTGGTAAAAGAGGGGAAGGGGGAGGAATGGATGAAAGAGATACTGGGAGAGAGAGGAGAGTGGAAGGAAGAGAGGGAGGAGAAAAAGAGAGAGAGTAAGAGAGGGGAGAGTAAGAGGGAGGAGAGAGAGAGAGAGAAAGAGAAAAAGGGTGTGTGTGTGTGTGTGTGTGAGAGAGAGAGAGAGAGGGGTGGGGCAGAGGAGAGGAAGAGCTGGGCAATAAACCGGAAACGGAGGTCCAAATAGGTTAAGGTAGATGTAAGAATAGCGTGTGTGTGTGTGGCGGGATAGGATGCGAAAACGTAGCTATAAGAGAAATTTGTATGAGTAGATAGTATTAAGAAGCGTTTAGGGTAAGAAAATGTGAAGTATAAAGATGTGTATGGAAATTGTAACCCTAAGGGGAATCAATAAATTTAATTCATTCATTACAAATATACTTTTTTCTCACTTACGGTACACCGGTTGCGGTTAGTTTGCACGTAGGATTTACTATGGGATAGGGCGCATTCCACTTAACGACCGCAACGCTCGCAAGCATCATCTGTCTTTGTTTAACTTTTGGTGAACAACAAAGATGAAATGATACCGTGAGCGTTGCGGTCATTAAGTGGAACGGTCCCATGGCAGTCAGCTAATCAGCAAGCGGAACGCCATTGTCGCTTCTCTGTTTATATAGGACTCTAACTACATCTATTGTAAATCCGGCCTTACGCGTCGACGCGCTCTTTGTGGGCTGGACCTACATGAAGTTAGCCGGCAGAAATTATTAAATATAATTATTTTTAACTTTTCTGAGTGTATTACGTTTGTAAATCGTTTGTGATTGATTGTGAATCTGTTTTTAACGTTTGTAACAAATTAGGTTTTTTGTAATTAACAATTTTAGTTTAGTTATGATGTCAGTCGACACTTTTCAGTAATAAACAGATTTTGTGATAACTGATAACTAAAATCGACAGGAAATCGTTTGTGATTTACAAATATACCAATGTTACGTTTGTGAATTGATAATTTTTTTAATTACGTGCAAACTAAGTTTATTTTATAATTGTAATGCGCATGCGCAAAGTATACTCAGCTTTGAGACGCAGGATGATTTCCGCCACGTGTAAACGCGTCGATGCGCTCTCTGTAAGCAGGAGCCCTGAGTATACTTTGCGCATGCGCACTACAATTATAAAATAAACTTATTTTGCACATAAATAAAAAATTTATTAATTCACAAACGTAACATTTGTAAATCACAAACGATTTTCTGTCGATTACAGTTATCAGTTATCACAAAATCTGTTTATTACTAAAAGTGTCTGACATCATGACTAAACTAAAATTGTTAATTACAAAAAATCTAATTTGTCACAAATGTTAAAAATAGACTCACAATCAATCATAAACGATTTACAAACGAAATACACTCAGAAAAGTTAAAAATAATCATATTTAATAATTACTGCCGGCTAGCTTTACGTAGGTCCTTGAATGTACAGACGGAAAAGTGTTGCATATGGATGTGTGCGTGTGTGCATGCGTGCGTGTGCGTGTGCGTGTGCGTGTGCGTATGCGTGTGCGTGTGTGTGTGTGTGCGCTGTGTACGCATGTGTGTGTACATACTTTTCGGGGCCATGTATTTCATAGGAGTTAGCGGTCTAGTAATATATAGAAGTCTATGGTTACTACTCGACGTTGAGTTGTTGGTTCTAAAAATAAGAACCAATCACGTTCGATTGCTATCTAATTATTGAGTCCGCTGAATACGACTAATGAAAATTAATTTTTATATTTTATTGCTATCAACGTGCATAAAATCATCTGCCATTTCGGCTTCCGGTTTCTATGCAACAAATCTAATCAATTTTTTAATAGCATTTTCGAATGTAACAGGTTTAATTGCTCTCAGAGCGATTAATGACGTCACTGCATCGTCTCTGCCAATAAAAGGCTTGAATTCATAGTAAAATATAGTGATTAATTGAACCGGGTTGGGTTAAAGGTACATTTTCACGAGCCGCTGAAATCGATCGTTCGAGCGACAAAAAGAATAACGTGATTGAAATGGACAAATGAGTGACGACAGTCTGGCCGCTGATTCGTCCATTTATATCACGTGATCCTTTTTGTCGCTCAAACGATCGATTTCAGCGGCTCGTGAAAATGTACCTTCACCCGTTTGTTCGAAAACGCTATAAAAATCTATTTGTTATCATTCTATCCGCTTTTATTTTTTTTTTTTTTTTTAATAAAAATTTTAACATGTTCAGTCGAACTTTCCTTCCTGTTCTCGATCCTGTTTTTCCTCTTGCACATGCATGGTTTAAAAATACAGCACAGAAAGGCTGCAGACATATTGTAGAATAATTTCATTGGAACATTGCAATATTGCAAATTGGTTGCGAAATATTGCTGCACTATTACTGTAAGATTGCGGCAACGTTAAGATGTCCGCTTTTTGTAATATTGCAATGTAACATTGCAGTAATCTTATAATGTAACATACTTGTAGTATAATGCAATGCATTACTGTGCAATTGTATTTATAATAATATAGTATATATGGATGATTTTCATCTTAACATTTATATGTTTTCTAAACTGCCTTACATCTGTAGTTACAAATATTACTGTATATGTATATACA